TATATATATATATGCATATACATATACATATATACATTTTTATTTACAATATTTATTAAAAACAAAGCTTCGTTTAATACTTTAATTCACTGGTTTTAAAACTAGTATTTGTGAATGAGGTATGATCGGATGGTATCGGACAAATGTTTGGAGGGCGGTTCCGAACAACTTAACCCATTTACATATTAAAAATAAGCAGCTTTTTTTTAATATGTAAAAAAATGATAATAAATTTAATATAATACATAAGCCTATAATAGTAATTCCTTTAATTTCAATAAAAAAGATCAAAGATTTAAATAAAAATTTTTAAGTGTTTATTTTCATTTGCAAAAAGCTATTACTTATATTTCTAAATTTTTCTTCTTATTCCTTATATAGCAGAGGCAATTTTTTAAAAGAAATTTTTTTTGAATGTGTTGAGAATATTCCAAAGCTAATTAATTAAATATTACAATTGTGTCGCACGGGTAAAAAAAAGGTAAAACCATGGTTAAACTTGTGTCCGGGGCCTCCAATTTTGAAACATTTTTCTAACATTTTTTCTTTTATGTCTTGTATATTATAAACGTACGCAATAATTATATTTCGAATTCAATAAATAAATGTTGATACTTTTAAAAAAGTCTTTCGACATTTTGTTTTCTGTAAGTACATGTGTACAATCTTTTTTTTCCTTTAGTGTCCAGAGCTAATCGATTTTCCTCTCTCTCTCTCTCTCTCTCTCTCTCTCTCTCTCTCTCTCTCTCTCTATATATATATATATATATATATATATATATATATATATATATATATATATATATATATATATATATATATATATATATATATATATATATATATATATATATATATATATATATATTAGGGTGTCCCAGCCGCCCCTAATATTCTAAAAAAGATCTGTTCATATTCTTAAAACTTTCTATTGTTCTCACAAGCAATTCTGTTCAATTTTTTCAAAATTTTATTGGATTTAGGGAGAGCACAAGACCCTTGAACACTTACCGGGTCCCTAATAATATTAACAAAAATTTTTCTCAAAAGTATGTCATGTTGGGTCTTAAGGGTCTGCGTCTGCTCGTATTCTCTCGGAAGTTCGGTATGAAACGGTAAAAAATGTGAGTATTCGTTTTCATAAGGCTTAGCGCATCTAACGAAGTTAAAAAAAGATATTGTCTTCTGTCGGTAGGTTTTAGTAAAACTGATGAACTTAAAGTTAAAATTTTATTACAGTAAAACCGTTTTACTGTAATAAAATTTTAACTTTAAGTTCATCAGACATAAATTATGTATTTGTTTATAAACTCACATGAAGAGTTTGAAATCATTGTTTGAATTAAATACTTCAAATTATATTATATAACATTTTAAATGCGATATTGTTGTGTTAACTTGAAATATTTTGCAAAACTAACTTATTGTTTAAAAACCATAGTAGTTCTCAATCATATAATCATGCCTATAAAAGCTACAATTTTATGGAATTATTTCAATAAAGTTACTGTGTCAGGTGTTAAGTGTGGGGAATGTAAAAAGTGTCAAATCCAAATCAAGTTAACTGATGGATCCACTAGTGGTATCAGGTACCATCTGAAAACAAAGCATCCCACTGACTACGCTACGATGTTAAGAGCCCAAATTGAACTTGAGCGCCAAAGAGAAGAAGATATTAAAGAAATTACAGAAGCTGCCTTCGAACTGAATGACGCATACAGTAAGTTTCTAATTATTTTTCATAAAATAATGTTTTTCCTTGTGTAAAGATAATTTTCATGTTTAACTTTAATTTTTATTTCGTTTTTTTAGATCAACGATCACAAAAAGGCTCATCTAAATGTGTTAATGGGGGAACTATTGGGAAATATTCTTCCCAATCAGGCAGGCAATTGGAGACAGACATGGTAATCATGTCATACATTGCCAGGTCAAGTAGTCCATTCACTCTAGTAGATGAACCATGCTTCAAAGAAATGGTGGAACATTTAAATCCAAAAGTAATTGTGAAACATTCCTCAACTTTTTCAAGGTACAAGCTGCCATTGCTTTATGAAAGCGTTATGGATACTGTGCAAAACCTAATTGAAAAAGAAGTTTCCACTTGTCAACAGGTGGCTATCACCACTGATGGTTGGACCTCTAGGTCACAGGATCCATACATGACTCTTACGCTTCACTATATCAATAGTCAGTTTGAACTGAAAAAATATGTTCTCAACTTTGACAATTTCGTGGGAAGACACACTGGTTACCACATTAGCAAAGTAATTTTTCTTATGTTGATATAATTTGTTCTCGTAAATATAAATTTGTAAGTGCAAAAATAATTTAAAAAAGTAAAACTTATCCTTCCGCTAGAATAGCGTTTCTTCTAGAATTTTGTCAATTATTGAAAGAATTTATAATTTATTGTAAAACCTAAAAGCTGCATAAGCTATCTTATAAATCATTAATTTTTCTTCATTCTTGTTTAAGGCTCTGGAAGAAATGATCCAAAAATATCCGGTATTGGACGCCGTGCCCAAGAAAGTCATTGTCCACGATGCGGCGGCAAACATGAAACATGCTGTGTCAATCATGAACAAAACAAAATATGAATCACTGTTGTGTGCAGACCACCTACTAAACACTAGCCTACTACATGCTACCAATGAAGTGCAAGAAGTCAAAGAATGCATAGATATTGCCACACAACTATCTAGCAAAGTCCACAGATCCACCTTAGCTTGTCAACTTTTTGAAAAAGAGTGTATGTTGCTCCGTGTAAACTATGTTAAAATCATTGCTCCGGTAAAAACCAGGTGGAATTCTAACTGTTTTATGCTGGAGTCAATCCTTAAACTTAAAGATGTGTTGATTTCTCTTAGAGAAAAAGATGCACTAAATAACAACCCACTACAGAACGTTATTCCAAGTGACAACCAATTTTCACTGATGGCTTCACTGATGCCAGTCTTAAAAAAAATGAAGATTATATCAGATTGCATGTCCAAGGACACTGAACCAGTGCTTCATCATATGCTAACTATGCTTTATAAAACTGACAATTTTTTTCATGACCACATTGATATGGAAAACAGAGAAATAGTTAATGCTTTTTGTAAAAAACTAAGTGAGCATTTACACCTAGCCACGCGATTCAATGAACATGGAAGATACAACCAACACTATGCCTTGGGAAACCTTCTTCATCCGTACTTTAGAGGTTATAAGTTTTATTTCTTGGTAAAAAAAACATTCTTTAATATTCTTTATTTGTTAAAAGACTAAATTTAACAGTTATTGTTTATGATTTCAGGATATATGCTTAGACATTACGGTATCTTCGAAGAGTTCACCAGAAAAGTCATCAACGATCATCCATCGTCGGACGCTGTTTCGATCAGTGAAAAAAATAATCATAAAGCTACACAAGTTAAAATGCCAGTTGGTGTGGATGAGTGCAACAATTTACAAAATATAGAGATTGAACAGGGTAATAATAACCACACCATTAGTCAAAATGTACCGGAAATTGAAAGGGAGTTTATGGTTCGTGTTGAAGAAAAGCATAAAGTTGATGTGCTGAAATGGTGGAAGAAACGTGCCTCTACTTTGCCATTGTTAGCACAATTGGCAAGAAATTTGCTCTGCATTCCAGCTGCATCAAGCTGTAGTGAGAGAATGTTCAGCGCCAGCGGTGGAATTATAAATGATAAAAGACACAGTCTTTCCACTCAGACAGCAAAGCAATTGACTTTGATTAAAGTCAATTATAATCTTGTCTGTCCTCACATGACCTTGAAAATTATAAGCGACGCTGAAGAAGCCCTGGACCCCCCAGCATTAACTCCAATTAGAACACCTCCCAAAAATCCTATTCCTAAAGCAGTTTTTTCAAATAACCAAAAAAGGTTATTGTTCAAAACAAAAAACGTTTCAACAACGCCATTATGTTCTTCTTCTTTACCATCAACACCAACATCTTCAGGAATCAAAAGAAAAACAATGGAAATTCCAGAAGAATCCGAAACAACATCATCCGAAAAAACATCCGAAAGTGACACTCAACAAGTATTAAAATAAAAATGTTTTACTTTTTATTGTGAAATTTTAAAATCGTGAAATATAATTGTCTAAATAAAAACTGATTTTTCGTAAAAATCGCAAATGTGTGCTTAAATTGGTACAATATAAAAGTAAATTACTTGTTTATTTTATGCTAGCCCTACCTGTCGTAAAAACATTAGTATTTCTCGTAAAACTCAGAAATTTCTTGTTTGTTTGTTTCGTTTTTTACCGTTTTATTTCGGAAAAAGTTTAATCTTATTTCGTTTCGTACCGGTTTTTTCAAAACAAAAAATGTGTCCCGTATTTATCACGAAACCAGAAAATTGTATTTCTTTTCGTACCGTATTTTGCAAAAAAAGATAAAAATTGTTTCGTTTCGTAACGGTTTTATCGAAACGATATTTTTCATCGTTTTGTTTCGTTTCGTCTTGTACCGTTCTGAGACGCAGACCCTTATTGGGTCTCAAAAGAAGCAAAATTATATAAACGTCTTAAAAATAACAATTATTTAAAAAAAAATTATCAGTCAATTTTTTTTTTGAAATAATTCTAGGAAAAATACAATTTTTTTATTTTTAGGGTAAAAAAGGTCATTTTTCTGCAAAAAACTCTAAAATAGTAATTTTTTTATAAAATAATTGTTATTTTTAAAATTTTTATACAATTTCGCTTCTTTTGAGACACAACATGACATACTTTTAAGAAATTTTTTTTTTTAATATTATTTTAATATTATTAGGGACCCTGTAAGTGTTCAAGGGTCTTGTGCTCCCCCTAAATCCAATAAAATTTTGAAAAAATTTAACAGAGTTGCTTGTGAGAACCATTAGAAAGTTTTAGGAATATGAACAGATTTTTTTTAGAATATAAGGGGCGGTTGGGAAACCCTAATATATATATATATATATATATATGATTTTTTTTTAATTCTTAGTACTCTATTTTAGTGACTTCAAGCAAATTTCAAACAGAAGTAGTTCAGAATGAAAATTTTTTTTCTTTTGATGGTTGTTTAAACTCACCAGAATATTCAAAGCTACACAAAAAAACTGAGTGTCTTTCTGTACACCAAGATATACCTGTAACATTAGACTGTCTATATGACAAGCAAGATAAACTAATAAATTCATACCCTTTAGAAGAATTATCTAATAAATCAGATTTTTCTGCTGCACTGCAAGGCATGCTGATAGAATCAGACAGCAATTCTCAAAAAGAAGGTTCGTTTATTAAAACATTTTTCTCTCGAGATGAACCTTTTAATCGCCTAGTTTTCGAAGAAAGTCAGTTAAAATCGGATATTCGATGTAATTTTGTAGATGAGAATTCATCAAAAAACGTTTATAACAAAACTTTTAATAAAAGACCTTATCAAAGTTGTCATAAAAGAGCATCTTCAAATGAATCATTACAAATAAATAAAATAAAAATATGCAAGCCATTAGGTATTGAACGTTTTAATCGCACTCAGAGTGCGGAAAATATACCTTTAAATATAAACTCTCAATTAAAACGCTCCTTTTCGCATGATAACCAGACATATGAACAACCATGTTATGGTTACACACAAAAAAAATTTCAATATTTATATGAAAATCATTTAAATCAAAGGTTTAATGATGGGGAATATAACGATTTATTAGATCAAAAAAGAAATAGTGGAGATTATTTAAATTTATATGCTTCAAACAACACTAGAAAAGAAAATATGATGGTTAAAAGAGGCTACAATTACGATTATATAGTTCCTATTACCAATTGTGTTCCAGCTATAAACAACTTATACAACACGCGCTGTCAAAAAAATCGTTCAACGGTTATTAATTTTAACAAACTGAATGTTGAATCAATGTTTTTATCTAGCTTACCATCTCAAAGTAATACTTTTTTTTTAAAAAAAGATTCGGGAAGAGTTCCTTATTCAACAAAAAATCCTCCCTCTTATGAATCAACACAAAACAACATGACAAAAAAAGATCATGGTATTATAGATTACATAAAGTATAATGAAGCCAGATATTCGTGTTCTCATTTGAAAGAACCTCCTTTGTATTCTGACTATATTCAGGTCATCAATATGGTTTCGAACACTAATGTAAACCAATCTAAAAATAAATCAACACCTCTACCTTATGATGTAAATATAGAAACAAAATGTAATGATAAACTTTTGGATGTCAAAGATGGTTCTATATCTAAAAGAAGCTATCCAAAGCGTACACATTCAATGCCAGCTGTCAGACATATTGATGAGCGGTCTCGAATCGCAAAAACATTTCTTATCGATGAAGATGTTAAAACACCGAAGAAAGTTCAAAATAAGCTTATAAAATCTGCATATTGCAATCGTCGTAAATCTATTGATTCAGGTACTTTGAAAAAACTAGCCGTAGAACTTCAAAACAATCCTGAATTAGGTTGTGAATATCCAATGATTTCTCAACTTTTATGCGAATCTCAGTTTACTGCTATTGAAAGGAGAGGTAAAAACCTATATCGTAATAAATCAACGGAAGCAATAATTACTCGATCATACGATTCAACCGTTGAATTTCTTTAGTTTTTATAAAAGAAAAAGAAAAATCAATTTTGAAATTAGTTAAATTTCTTTAAAACTTTCAATTGATAAATTAAGTTACTTAACGTAATTTTTTGTTAATTTTTCTTAAAACTACAAATAGTTTATAACAAATCGTTAAATTTATAATTAACTTTTTATAATTAGAAGTGCTAGCAAGGTAGATATTACACACTAAAAAAAAGGTAGTTAGGTAATTAGAGAAATTAGCAATATTTTATAAACCAGCATATTTACAACATCTAAAAAGCTGAAAGAAAAAATTTTAAATTAAATATTTTCAATTTTTGATATTCTTTATTAGATTATTTACTCCGTCCACGCCTTTCTTATATTGTAAAATTTTTTGCTTTTGTAAAAAGTTTATGGCCTCAGAATTTATATAAGTTTTACCATGGCCGACGCACGTAGGAGTATTTGACGATTTTAGCTGGCCAAAGTTATTTCTCTCTTTTTAACAGCTGAAAACTTTACCATATGACAAGAAATTGTGAATTAAATGTTTTTTGTACAAATCCAAGCCAGTGGCGTTCAATATAGGGAAAAGATGGGTAATTTAGGGATTATATTTTATTCTATTTAATAGGATTTGAGAAAGTAAAAGATATATTATTTTTCAAACTTTATTATGGTAAATAAAATACTATATTTTGATATTTAATTAGATTCCACTTCGTCATTGTCAGAATATTCTTCATTTTCGTTGTTTTCAGTGTCGGAATTTTGGACTTCTCCAGGAAGAAGCAGTTCCACAGCTTCTTTTGAAAAAGGCTTTGTAAGTTTGTGTTTCTTTTTCCCAATACTGGACAACAGAGGGTCGGATGTTAACAATAACCTATTGATGATATCTTGGTTACAATCTTTTCTAGAAAATTTTCTAGCATAGCTAAGTCTGTACTCCCGGAAATGTTTGTTTCTGGCTTCGGCAGCCTCTTCCGACAATTGTCCAATTGGCAAAAGCGCATTCTCTACTATATCAGGACCATGTACTAAAACTTTATGCAGAGTTGGAGTCATTGGACACCAGGGGTATAGTTCAACATAAAGCTTTGCAGTATCCAAAGTATACTGTCTGAACTTTTCTACATCAATCTTGTGGCCACTGGAAATTACTTCTAGGATAATTTTCATTCTGGAAATTAAACGGAAGTCTACTCCAGTGATATCTGCAGATGTTTCCGGGTCGTTGAAGAATCTCCTGCTTGTGTTGCCGTTATTGGTATTCCCAAATCCAATCTTAGGTATGTCGACAAGAATGCCCACTTTGCTCTTGAATTCATCTTGGATTTTCTTTTTCCTATCTGAGATGAGTCTCTTCTTATCTTCATTCAGCCTTTTCTGCCATTTTTTTACAGGCAATTTATATGATAGGTAAAGGAGACTTTCAAAACACCGTGTTCTAGCATGCAGAATGGATAGTCCAAATTTATAGCTGCTTTGATTGTCGACACATGTTCTGTCCAAATCATTAAATTGTCTTGATGTTGCTCCACAAATATAACATCGCATGGTCGATTTAGTGGTGTTTGCTGCGTTACAGACTTTTCCGTCAATCATAGTTAACATCGTCACATGTTCTACTGCTATGTCTTGAAGTTGAGTTGGTTTCAAGCCTGCAATTTTGTTTTCCATGTAAGCAATTTCTTCAGCTATTACATCAGCAGTTTCTTTTATGATCCTAATTCGAATTGGCCTGCAAAACCTTGGAGACGATGGTGTAGGGTTTTGCCAGATAACTTTTTTATTTACTCCACAAGTTAGCTGTAATGAAACCATTGAGCATTGAAATATACTGGCATCAGAATTAGAGTCATCCTCAAACTTTTGATTAAACTGTGTCTGCTGGGAGCCATCACAACCCCATTTCGTAGATAATTTCATATGTTTACGCCCACTTTCCGTTAGAGTCTTGATAACTTCTTCTAAATACAACTCCAATCTTTCGTCAGTATGGTTTAACAGACTTTGTAAGTCTACTTCAGCTAAACTTTCTGTGACTGTGAACGAATCAGGATCAGGATAGCATGTTTTTTTTTCTTCGACCAAAATATTGTAGCAGGACCATTGCTTCTTGTCACTTGTACGTACGATTTCATATTGAGATTTTGTTAGGCCTGCGTCAGTAAATATTAAAAGAGCCTCTAACGGTGTCAATGATTTTTTTGTAGGTTCAATACTGTTGCGATAGGCTTTTTTATACTTTCCCGCTCGTTTGGGAGATGTTTTAAGATCTTTGAGGACGGTTGCAGCACTTCTTTTGCCACTTGTTGTCAAACAAGTTTCAGCTGCAAAAACAATAGCTTCTGGTTCCACATCTTTCCTGAGCTGTTCTGTTTTTCTCCTCTTTGAACGTTCACTAGAATCGACAAAACGTTTTCTTGGTTGTCCGGCTGATGATGGAGTGGATGGGGTACCCGGTATTTGGAAACTCCCTTGCAGCCAAGGGCCATGCTTCTTAATAAATATTTCATGAGTTCTGGATGAAGACGACCACATTTTTCTAAAAATAGCTTTCAACCTCGACATTTGACGCTTGTATACTGTTTTTAGTTCTTCGGTATATTGATTTCTTGATAAAAAATTTTGATCAGCTAAGTCCATTTTTTCATTGAAATTTGGAGCCTCCTGCTGCTGAATACTGTTGTAGAAATCCAAACGAGAGATTGTTTGCATTCCTGATGACCCATCTAGAAAAAAAAAATTAAGTTGAAAAATTTATCTTGGACCTTGATGTGCTTAGAACATGATTAAAATTTAGATGGCATCAACAGGCAGTTGATGCCATCTCTCTCTCTCTCTCTCTTTCTCTCTCTCTCTCTCTCTCTCTCTCTCTATATATATATATATATATATATATATATATATATATATATATATATATATATATATATATATATATATATATATATATATATATATATATATATATATATATATATATATATATATATATATATATATATATATATATATATAACCCTGACCTTGATGTGCTTAGAACATGATTAAAATTTAGATGGCATCAACAGGCAGTTGAAATTGAGATTTTTAAATAGTTAGTAGTATAAACTCATAGAAAAACGAAAAAAACTAAAAGGGTTTCAATGCGCACTACAACTTTTTCAATTTTAAAGTCAAAATTTACTTTAAAATTCGTTAAAAAAATGCTAAGTTTCATGGTACATAACTTTTGTGGTAATTAATATTTCAAAACGGTTGTAAGAGTAAATAATGTATATACCTGTCATAGATTCATCCACGATATAACACTGCAAAACTTCTGTTGTAAACACTTGTACACAGCTTCAATAAACACCACTAAAATCGCTCATAAATAAAATGAACCACGCAGATATAGATCGGATATTTAACTAGACTGTGTAGTTCCAATTACTACTTTTATAACCAAACCATTAACTGCTCATTAAGCGACCATTATCGAGAGATAATAAGGGAAGGTAATTAAGTGGGTACGGCTACTTTTAATAATTCCAATTTTGGCCAGCTAAAATCGTCAAATACTCCTACGTGCGACGACACGGGTTTTGAAGTGGGGGGGGGGGGCACAACCGTCAATTCTCGACTATATTTATAATTTTCCTTATATTTTTTTATTTTTTAAAAAAAAAGTTCCTTTAAAAAAAAAATTGCCATCCCCCCCCCCCCCCTGGTGTTGTCAGCCCTATTTACAAGTTATTAAATTTTGCCCTTTTTTTTTAAAGCATTTTTTTAAATAAGATTTTTTGACTACCTCTCATTACTTTCTTTATTAAGTAATAAAATATCTATACTAAAATAAAGTAAAATAATATCTATATTACAAATAATATCTTATAAAATAATATCTTATTACAAATTTATTTGTAATAAAATATCTATACTATTAAGTAATAAATTCTTTATTAAGTAATAAAATACTAAAATGCTTTAAGTAATGAAAAACGCCAAATAGTATTTTAATGATAAATTTAAGATTGTAGCGCAACTTTTCATCGCTAAAAATAAATAAAATAAAAATAACCATCTGAAAAACAACGTGTATCTAACGCCTAAATCTATTATTTTAGATAAAAGTAGAAAACAACTATTAACTATTCGAAGAAGTAACATTCCTCATAAACATAAACATTCCATAAAATTATAAACATTGCTAAATGCTAATATTATATAATAATTCTATATTCTGAACAATGCTCTCTAAGTTTCAAAAGAATAAATTTTAATGGTGGAGAAAAGCCATTTTCTATGTTTCATTAAGTTTTTTTTTTTTTTAATTTTTTAGGTGCCCCAAGAAGTCCTTGCGGTCTTATCACAGAGCACCGCGGATGAGCATTTAATAGGAAATTCACGCCTCCTTCCCAACTGATGTCGCAAAACTTGCCCAGAGGTGGGGTTTGAACCAGGGATCTTACGTTTCTGAGGCAAGTGCGCTACCACTGCGCCATGGCTGCTGAAAAGTTAAGCTTTGTACCAACTGAATCTCGAGCAGATGCACATTTGGTGATGAAAAATGAAAGAGTTTGAGTTTGCACGGCCAAATATTTTTTGAGAAAGAATTTTGCATAGAAGTGATATGTGAGCACAAAAATGACACTAAAAACTTGTTTAGACTTGTTTGATTTGTTGAATAAGTTTTTTTTTTTGTATAAAAAAGCAATTCAATGATATAGAAGCGGAAGCCAAGAAATTATTTTCTGATTCCGAGTACAAAATACACAGACAAAAAATACGAAAGAAATTTTTCTAAGCAGAAGTAATCTTTTTAATTTACTTCTCGATTTGGAACTTGAAAATGAACAAGTGTAAGAAAAAGCTAAAAATTTGATAAAAGCTTACCTGGATGATTTTGATACAAAATTGTTCGCTGAGTTGTTTAGTTACATAGTATTATCTCTCAGCGTTCAAAAATTATGACAATATAAAATTTGCAACCCCTCAAATTAAGTGGGGTTTAAACTTTAAATGGTCATAATTTTTAAACGCTAAAATATTTTACTATGAAATTTAAAATTTATGA